GTGCCGCGATGTCGCACTCTTAGGGTTGGAAATTTCCCAAATTTTCTGGAAAATTTCCAAAAACTTTCCGAAAATATACGGAACGGAAAACTTTCGTAGCGGCCGCGGTCGGGCAGCTCCAGGGTGTACGAGTACTTGACGCCCGCCACGTTCTTGGCCCAGTTGGCCGATCCGCCTGTGGCATCAGAGAAGGAAAAGGGAATCCGCGTTGGATATCATCCGTCGATACTTACATGCCAACTGTCTGAGCGTGAGGCGTAACTTGAACACTAGCCCAACTAGGGTTAGATATTTTAAATATTTTCCGGAAATTTTCCAAAAATTTCCCGAAAATTTTCCGAAAATAACGGGAAAACTTCCAAAGTCTGGGGAATTTTCAATTTTCCCGGAAAATTTCCAAAAATTTTCTGGGAACTTTCCAGAGCTTCCAACCCTAAGCCCAACCTAGCACAACCTAACCTCACTTAACCTTAAGTTAACCTAACTTTACTCACCCGAGATGGGGTAGAGGACCTCGGGCGAGGTGCCGATGTGGTAGCGCGTGTTCCGGACGCGGCGCATGGCGCCGGCCGCCAGCTTGGCCTTGTTGTAGAGCTCCTGGTGGTCCGGCAGGCGGCCGTAGCCCGCCCCGTCCGGGATCAGCCACAGCTGGCCGTACGAGTGCAGCGTCACGAACAGCTGCCGACACGAAATATCACAACCGGTGGTGATAATTATTCACTCACATAAAAGTATCAAATGTTTACCTAGTTTTAATAATTTAAATGATAATCAGAAACATTTCAGAAACAGAAATGAAAAATCGTTATATAACTCGAAAAAGAACGGAAAAATTAGAAAAATTATAGAAAGGATGAAGAAACACTAGAAAAATGGAGAGCTTGACTCACCTGGACGCGCTCGCGCCGGCGAGAGATGAAGGCGGCGACGGCCCTGGTCTCGGGCTCGGAGAAGGGTCGCGGCCCGGCGTAGCTCTCGCTGCAGGGGTCGTCCGAGGCACCCACGCGGTCCCCCCAGTTGTGCTCCCAGTTGCGGTTGAGGTCGACGCCGGAGCACGGGCCGCGCTTGTGCTTGTGGAAGAGCGAGGCGAGGCGCGCCAGGCCCAGGCCGCCAGGGCCGCCGCCGTCGCGGAGGCCCGCGGCCACCTCGTGCGAGGACCGCGACTTGCGCCACAGGCGGTCGCGGGCGTGCGCGTACTCGTAGCCGTCCGGGTTGAGCACGGGCAGGATGTACCAGTCGGCGTCCAGCACGAGGTGCGGGTGGCTGTAGAAGCGCTCCACGAGCTGCATGCAGACGTACAGCGCGGCGGCCGGTGTGATCCACTCGCGCGCGTGCGTGCCTATGGGGAGGGGGGGGGGGTAAAGCAGTCAAAACCACAAGCAGCTGCGACAAAGACTACACACAAAAATAATAAATGAAGCTGTATAGGTAATCCAATAATTTAGCTAAATAGACAGAGAGTAGTTATTTATGAATAAATAACGCTAAAACTGTAGCTATGTAGGGAAATATGGCTAAAACTCTCGCTCAACATAGCTAAAATTTGAGCTATGTAGCAAAAAGGTGAGCTTTGTAGCAAAAAAAAAATGAGCTTTGTAGCAGCAAATCGAAATTTGTAACTACAAATTGAGCCGATGGCTAAGTAGCCAATCATATGGCTAATTTTGTAGATGAATTGCTAGATATGTAGTTATATCATTTTTAGATATTGGTTTAGCTATACAGCTAATCTTCTTCTTTCGAAACTGCGTTAGTTTGCGGTTTATTCCGGTCTTCCTTTACCTGCGTCCACCCAGACGGCGGGCTTCTTGCCTTGGGTTCCGGCGGCCCGCCTTGGCTCCGCGGTGCCGTTGTCCCGTGGCAGCGCCAGGTCCGACCTGGCCTCCCTCGTGGACACCTTGAGGAGGTACAGCGGCCGGCCCTCGCTCGACGTCCCGATCGTCAGGACCTGCGCCAGGTGCGGGTAGCTGGAGGCGAGCCAGTGCATGTACTCGACGATGTCTGCAGGTAAAAATAAAGACAAAAAAAGGGGGGGTCGTTAATATCAGTCCCACCTGACTTTTGTCTCAAGAGAAAATTTTCTTTTAATCAATGTAATTTTTTTCTGTCGATTCGCCAAAATTATAGTACTATAATTTTGCCCCTAATAGTAAATAGCAGACAAATTTGAAAAATCAGAAAAGAATGAAACGAGTGAGTTTAAATTCTAGCAGGGCTGGGAAATTTTCTTATTTTCGAAATTAACAAGTTATGGGAGCGATCGACGGGGAGGTGGAGACGACCTTACCGTCGTATCGGTGGAACCGCTTCCACGTGAAGGGGTGCCCCACGTTGCGCAGGAGGGTCGTCCGCTGCTGCGCCGTCGGCCGCGGTGGGTTTTGGAGGGAGATGATTTTCTGAAACAAGACAAAAGAGACGGCACAGTCTATAAAACCTTTTCAGTCACAGCAGGCGCGCACATTCAAACGCGTTTCTCCCAGAATAAAGCGAACACCCTTCCACGCGGGGCTATTCAGGTGGTAGAAAACGCAGTCCTATCGCACCGTGCGGCCGCCAGCTATATCCAGTTCAGCCACGCTCACGAGAGCGTGAGCGCGAGAGGGCAGGGAGCGGGGAGGGAAAAGGCGTCCGACACCGACTCCCGCACTCCACGCTCTCGTGCCGCGATGTCGCACTCTTAGGGTTGGAAATTTCCCAAATTTTCTGGAAAATTTCCAAAAACTTTCCGAAAATATACGGAACGGAAAACTTTCCAAAATCGGGGAATATTTTCCATTTGTTCCTGGAAATTTTACGTTTTTTCCAGAAATTTTCCTGAAATTTTCCGGAAACTTTCCAGGGATTCCAACCCTACTCGCTCTCCGCCCCTCGCTTCTAGCAGAGCAGGTAGAAAATCTTAAATTTCAGTATCTGCTTGTCTTGGCCAGTATCAGTATCTATTGGCCAAGCGGCAGGATACGCGCGCGCGCATTGTGTAACTCCCCGTTTGGATGGTTTGGACTCGGTGGTGGCCCGGCTTGGACCTCGGAGGGTCAATGAATAATCCCCGGGCAGCTGGCAGCCGGAGCATCGCCCCGCCGCCGCCCTGCCTTTCGCCGCCCTTGCCGGAGCGGTCGGTGGAAATGACTCGTGTAACATTTATTCGCGGAAACATCATCAACAACTCACACTGTATATATTGGTTTTCCGACATCATTCCGCACCCGCTTTGGCATTGCGGTAGGCGCTGGGGGGGGGGGGAGTGTCGGCGTTGAGCAGGGGTGGCGGCGGCAGGCCCACCTGTGGGACGCGACACGCTTCTAAACTGGAGGCAACGTCCCCCCTCCCCCCATCTCTCTCTCTCTCTCTGTAGCTCTATCGCTCACTCACTCTGCTCGTCGAACAGGGGAGCGCACGCGGCACTACTTCACGGTTGCAACAACTAAATCAATATTCTAGGGTTGGAAATTCCCAAATATTTCCGAAAAATTCTCGAAAACTTCCGGAAAATAAGAAAAGGCTTTCCAAATCTTGGAAAATTTCAATTTTTACTCGGAAATTTTCCGTTTCTTTTCCTGACATTGTCCAGAAAATTTTCGGAAACATGCCAGGGCTTCCACCTACCCTACAACATTTTTCGGAGGCCTACAACATAATTATCCTGTACCGTGTCGTTGCCCCGGCGCCAGGCCCTCGGGGCCGGGGGACGGAGCTATGGCTGCCCGCTCGAGCGGCCGCCCCGGAGGCCGCCGCCGCGCATGGCGCGCAGCAGGGGCCGCGCCAGCCTCGTCCACGACGTGCGGCAGGAGACGGCGGTGGCGGCGGCGGCCGCGGCGAACACCAGCAAGGTCAGCGCCACGACGAACGACGGGGACTGGGACTGGTCGCCGAGGAGGACAAACATGGAGGCGCGAAGCAGGATGAAGAGAACGTCGAGGTGCCGGGCGCAGCGCATGTTCCGGGTCAACGTCGTGAAGACGGCGCCGAGCAGGAGCGCATCCTCTGGGCCCAGCACGCCCCCGACGGCAAGGGGGAAGGAGCAGCTG